ATATTTAAAATAAATAAATAAAATTTTCAAATATTATCTAAATTAGAAAAATATATTTACAAAATTACATCAATAAGTTTATAAATAATTAATGTATAATTTTTTACAATATTACATAATTTTGTTCAAAGCTTATAAATATCTAAATTAGGAAAAATATATTTGCTTAATAATAAAATTAAGTTTAATATTAAATAAAACATAAAAAATTAAATAAATATCTTCTTCTGAAAAAATATATTTACAAAATCAATTAATTAAATTACAATTTTATCAACGTATAATTTTTCTAATATTACATAAGCGAGCTAAAAATTAATAAATATCTAAATTAGTTAAAATATATTTATAAAATTAATTCTTTGAGTTAATATTTTATCAACCTATAATATTTTTAAATATTACATTAATTAGTTTAGAGGATAATTATCTTATTCAAAAAAATATTATAAATAATTTATTAATTTTGTTTATAATTCCATAAAAATTTTTCATTTTAGAAGTAAACCTAATGGGGCCTTAGTTGGATAAAGAAACCTTCATGCTATGGAATGTAATAAGAAAACTCAACTTTTATGAATTAAAATAATATGAAGTAATTTCAAGATAGATGTTAGTGTGCAGTTTAACATTGTATCTAATTACCTTAAATATTAATATATTTTTTAATTTAAATTGTAAATGAATTTGATGACTAGAAATCATAGATTTTTGTAAAATTGTAAATTAAAACTAAATTTGTCAAATCAAAATTTAGTTCTTATTTTATTTTATGTATTTAATTTGATAAATAATTGATTGATATCATATACTAATTTACTAATGTTCCTCAATTTATAAATTAAAAGGTTCAATCTGATTATTAATTCAAATTCAGTACAAATGGAGTATTTTCGGTTTTAAATATTGAATTGTGTAAAAAAATTAATGAGAGGAGTAATTTTTGTGATAAATAATTGGTTAGAAAAACATTTTGAAGGAATGTTATTTTAAGTAGTAATTATTAAGCTTGAATTAATGCTTATTATTTCTGAAATTGTTTTGTTATATATATCTGGTAAAATTAATCTTTGCTATAAAGATAAAATTAATTAAAAGAAACTTAAATTATAAATTATATAAAATTTAAAAACATAAATATATTTAAATGTTAAATAATATAATAAAAGACTGAAATCAATTAAAAAATAATGTTTATAATCATTTAAACATACTTTGAAAATTTTCTTATAGATTTTATACAAAATGGTATAAAGATAATAATCTTCTAAAAATGTTTTATAATTCATAAACAAGGTTAAAATTAAATATACATACTATATAATATAAAAATGAATATAAAATTCCAAATAATACAAGATGTACATAATTTACATATAATATTTGAAATTAGTTTCAATGAATTGTAACTTTTTATATTATAAATAGATATTTTAGAGGAGAAAAATAAATATATTAAGTTAAAAATAGAAAAAATGACAAAGATATAAAGTAAATGGCTTTTCATTTTTGGCTTTTTTATTAGTATTTAAGTTCATATTAAAGGAAATTTTTTGAAAAAATAAAAATATGACTCTATCATAAAATATCAAAAGCTTTAAAGCAAATA